CGGGCTCCGCGGAGGGAATTCGGGGTGGAAGTGTGTTTTCTCTCCACTGTTTCTGCAACATTACATTACAAATAAATGCAATTTAAAAATCGGTGTCTTTTAAAAAATGTTATTTTGGTCTGGATTTGTTAGACATTCATCCGTTAAAGAAGGAAATAAAAGAAAAAGCATTAAAAAAAAAGTAGTAGAAGAAAGTGGAGATCAGGGGAGAGGTGACTTAAGCCTGATGTCCTCTGAGTCGCGAGCGTGGCCGCGGCAGCCACAGCCCCTCGCGCGCGCCGTTTTCCCAAAGCTCGCAGGCTCTGGCGGGGGTCCCCCCGTTCCCGGGGCAGCGCTTCCTGCGGCCGGGGCTCGGGCGCTCTGGGCTCGGATGAAAACCCGAGAGTGCGGGTTAACCGTGCCGAGGGCCCCTCGGCAGCTGGAGCGTGACCCTCCCTCCCCTCCGCCGGTGACCAGGGCGGGCGGCTTGGAGCACAGGCTGTATTAGTTCGTGGCAAGAAAGGCTTTCTGGGCTCAGCAGCTAGTTCGTGGCGTACCTGTCAAAGCCCCAGCCCCCGTTCTACCTTCTGCCTGAGAGTCTGCGGAACCGCGCAGGACGGCCGTCCTCCCCTGGGAGGCAGTGTGGCACGAGCGGGCAGATCACGGGCTTCCGAGTGGTAATAAAGCAGGCCTTTTAAGCAGGTCATAAACATAGAGAACACTGATTTTCCAAAACATGCAGGATGACTTTCAAGAAATCTTGAATAATTTTATGCACAATATTTTTTATTATTGTCAAGAATGTACTGTAAAAGTCCATTGCCTAAAACAATAGTATCACTTACTAAGGGCTATGTATTAGATATAAGGTATATAGATAGGCCCTACTCCTCACTTTAATAATTAAGGGCCCTATACCAAATATTTCACTTTATTCAACCCTATTTCCTACTGACCCCCTAGATTTGCCTTCTGTATCATTAGCATCAGGTTCATTATCCTGAATTTGAATCTTTGCCCTCAGAGAAATCTTAAAAATATTGCATCAGATAGTATCACACCCCTGCTTAAATCCACGCCCCTGCACGCATGTTTACACCCAAACTCCCTCCTGATGCTGAAAAGAGCCTACAAGACCTGCTTCAGCCTCTCTCTCTCTCTGACCTTCTCTGAGAGCACTTTTCAGTGACTGCAGCCACAGTGTTTTCTTGCTTTTCTGGCCCCAGGGTCTTTGCACTTGCTGTTCTCTCTGCCTGGAATGCTCTGATCTCAGCTTTTCCATGGTTGGCTACTTTGTACCATCCAGATCTCAGCTGAAATGTCACCCCCTCCAAGGTTCTGTCTCTGACCTGGGGGGGCTCCTCCTTCACCCCAGCAGCCTGGCCCATATCCACAATCATATCCACATGCTCTTTTACAGTGGCTCCTCCTCCTCCCCAGCAGCCTCGATCTCATCCACAGGCTGTATTGATTATCTTGATCATATTTACTATCTGAAATGACTTTGCTCCTTGACACATCAACTTTTTTGTACTCTGATTCCTATATGCTCACTAGAGTGGAAGCCCCATGAGAAGGGGACCTTATCCATCTGGCTGCTGCATATGTAATTATATGCAATGCCAAGAATAAAACATATAAATATTTGTTGAATGAATGAAAGAGGAAGATGCTACTCTAAGTGATCATCAAAGACTGTGCTTCTGCCCTTCAGACTCTCAGTGATCTCGTGGTCGTCTTCTTGCCTGTCTGAGCCGTCTGTCTGCTGTGTCTGAGTTTCCCAGGAGTGCTGAAGTGCTGATGGCTAGCCAAGCCTTTCCCAGCCCAGGATACTAAGCCCTCCCATCTCCCTATATCTCTCAACCATCCCTTAGCTTGTGCATAATCTGTGGAGGAATTGTCCATACCTTAAGAATGCCATTAAAGCCCGGCCGGCATGGCTCAGTGGTTGAGCATTGACCCATGAACCAGGAGGTCACAGTTCGGTTCCCAGTCAGGGCTCATGGCCAGGTTTTGGGCTCCATCCCCAGAAGGGTGTACAGGAGGCAGCTGACCGATAACTCTCATCATTGATGTTTCTATCTCTCTTCCTTTCCATTCCTCTCTCTGAAATCAATAAAAAGATTTAAAAAAATACTGTTAACAGCTGGATTCGTTTTCTATTGCTGTATAACAAATCACCACAAACTTGGTGGCTTAAAACAACTTAAATATTGTCCTGGCCTGGTTTGCTGAGTGGTTAGAGCATCAGCCTGCGTGACTGAAGGGTCCTGGGTTTGATTCCAACCAAGGGCACGTACTTTCGTTGCAGGCTCGATCTGGGTCAGAGCATATGTGGGAGGCATGTGTCTCTCTCATATCGATGTTCCTCTCTCTCACCCTTCCACTCTCTGAAAAGTAATGGAAAAAATATCCTCAAGTGAGGATTAAAAAAACAAACCCACAACAACCTAAAGATTGGCTCACAGTTCTTTCCTGTTTTGGGCAGATTTCAGTCTTCTGCAGTTGTAAGACTGAGATCCCTTGTTTTTTTGTTTTTGCTTTTTTCTTTGCTAGCTGTCAGCTGGGACCACGCTCAGCTCCCAGGGGCCAGCCGCAGGTCTTTCCCAGGTGCTCCCCATCAGCACTCACTATAAGGATGCTTGCTTTCTTCCAGGCCGGCCAGAGTGTGTATTAGATGATGTTAATATTTTCAGGGATGCATATATGGTTTGCACGTTGGTGCCAATCTTTACTTTTACATGACCTTATGTTATGCCTTTTGTTCATTTTACGTCTTGAGCAGGAAAGAGAAACATACAGTTAATATTTTTACAGCTAAAAAGACTGATTTAATCCACAAATGGCCAATGATAAACTCCAAATTTTAATCATGGAAATTTACTCCCTGGTTATGACACATAATAGGGCACCCAATGCCTGTTGAATGAATAAATGAATGGATAACAATTAAAGATAGTTAAAGTTATATACATGTTATAAGAAAAAAATTGCATAAACACTATAGATATAAATTTATTATTGCTTTCGTTAGTATTACTAATATGATCGGTTCTTTAATGTCTTAAACGAACCGGAATGAGTTATTATCTACATTAGGGATGAAGTGAAGCTGGACTTTGGCTGCAGTAAGATTGCTTTTGGTTGCTTGCCTGCTTTAGGTGGTAGAGGCAGGACGTAATGTTAGTTACCTCATTTCCACAGGATAGTAGAATCCAGCCCTGACATCTCTCTTCTGTTTCCCTCGCTCTTTCCTCTTTTCCTTTCCTTCACTGGCCAAACATTCATTGGACCAGTTGCCAGGCCTTGTGCATATGAGGAATAAAAGGCTGCATGGGACACAGCCCACCGTCCCAGGGAGTTCTGGAAGGGGAGAGCTCCAGCCGGGGAAGCTGAGCATAAGGCAAACTGAAAGGCCTGCTGGACTGGACCATGAAGATGCTCCCTCGGGCCCGGGCCTGGGCCCCGGCCCCAAACCAAAGGGCGGGAAACACCTACGCCCGGCGGCAGACAGTGGGACGCTGCCTCCTGCCTGTCTCCTCCAAGCACACGCTTACACTTTGTGTACATAATACCCACTGCAAGCATGCATGCGTTTCCAGGGGATTTGGGAGGAGACTTTTGGGAGCGTTTAACCTACAGAAGGCTTTGAACAAGAGCAGCTGTTTACCAAGAACGAGCGCAGGTTAATCCCACGCTACAGAACGCCGGCAGGCTGCGAGGTGACCTCCGTGGCGAAAGCTCCTGCAGCCTCTGCCTGTGGCAGGGGGTCGCTGGCCGGCCCTCCGGCGGCGCTGGAGCTCGCGTGCCCCCATCACAGCGGGTCTCACCCAGTCATTTGTTGACCGCTTTCAGAACTGAGTCACTAGACTATAATATCAGTGAATGTTCTACCTCCTAAGAGCGTTTAAAATGAGCAGGTTATGGCAAAAAACAAAGTCAGTGACTTTGGAAGAAAGAGACTCATTTCACGGATGACTCGCCTGGGCTCTCCAGAGCTCGCAGGCTGCCTGCGCCATAGAAACAAAGACAGTGAGCGTGGACGTGCAAAGGACCAGCGCAGCGCACAGGGCCCGTCGGCAGGAAGGCCGCGCACCTGGTTAGCGTTCTGCCGTCACCATCTGGAAGTTCTTAATCAGTCCTGAATAAGGCTCTGCACACCGCGTAGCCAGCTCCACGGACAGGGCATAGTGGTCACAGCGGGACGGGCTGGAGAGGCTCCCGGAGGGAGGAAGGGACAGGGAATATCTGGAGATGCAGTTGAAAAGGCAGGAA